ACTCTGTGTGGCCGGCTCTTTGGGCACCTGAGCGGGCGGTGCTCAGAGAGGAGTGCAGCCATGGTGTGCAGAGGGGATGAGGAGGGCGCACCTGGCCTTTATGAGGTTCCCTCAGAAGGAAGCTGCGTCACTGGTTCTCATAGTGGCTTATTGGGTGTTCGCTTAGGGGCGTGGGCAACAACTCAGCTTTTCCCGCCTGGAGGGGGCTGCCTGCTTGCCAGAGCTCATGCATGCAGGTGAGGCTCATCTCAATGACAAAGACCGACCGGCCCAGCTCGCCTTTTCCTGGCTGCCGCGACCACCGGAAGCAGGGAAGCCCCGACCCACACTTTACGGCTCTGCTGTCTCTGCTGGCCGGCAGACACTGTGGGTCCCGTCAGGGATGAGGGTGGTGTCTGAGGCGGGGGATTCAGTCTGCGCCCTGAGGAGAGGGAGCTGTTCCCGCTGCAGCGCACAATGCCTTGCTTCAGGGGCAGGTGCGACCATTGTCCTGTCAGCCGCTTGGCGCCTCCTTTGCTTTTGGCTTCAGCCGCTCAGAGAAAGGGCCCCCGGGCGTGTGTTGGAGGCTGAGGCGAGCGCGCAGCGGGCCTCCCTGGAGCGTCTGCGGCCGTGAGGCTGCAGGTGAGCGGGGCAGAGCGCGGGAGGGAGCGGTGAGTGCGTGTGCTGAGGTGCTAGGTGGACCCGTTGCCCCGTGGTTCGGTCACAGTTCGGGCAGGTGTGGGTCTGCTTCCCATTCCGGTGCGAGTTTCATGCCAGTGGGTGTGCAGCGTTTCCACAGCTCATTTTACAGCGTTCGCAGTCCTCCCGCCCCAAGAGAAGAGACTTTCAGGAGCGCTTTGCTCCCTCCCCTGTGTCCGGTCCTCTTGGCCTGTCGGTCAGTTCCCTTTCCTGGCGTGTGCTCAGGAATTCCATTGGTTACGCTGCATGCGTGTGCCTGACTGTGCGCTATGCGGACAACAATCTCTCTGCCTTGCTCCTCTTTGTGGGGAATTTAGGTTTGCCTGCGTGCTCCCTGTTTTCCTTGACCGCATGGAAGATTGAAGGCGGAGAATAGTGTGTTGGCTTCTTTCTTCCTTGTTGTTTGCCAGCCATAGTCACCTGGCTGGCTTGCAGGTGCACAGCTTCCATGTGCTATTGCACAGGGAGTTATAAAGGGGGCTCGGTGTTGCTGCTTTACTGCCAATTTCCACTCAATTTGTGAGGGCCTGCAGTTCTTCCCGACTGCCCTCAGCCCTTTTGCACAGGGAGCCTTCGCTGCATTGCTCTGGTTCCACATTCTCAGGCTCCCATTTTGGGCCATGCACTGTTCTCTGTGCTGTGGTATGCCTTGTGCCGCTTGTCTGCTTGCCTGTTCTTTTCTGCTCGTCTCGTGCTGCTTTTATGGTTACATGTCTTTCCCGGCAACATCTCCTGTTTGCATGCTCCTCCTTGATCCACGTTCTGTTGTGAAGGGGCCACAGAAGTCCCGGGAGCCCGTCCCATTGTTGACATTCTATGTTGGTCTCCTGGTCCTCAAGAGCATGGGAAAAGGTGCCCGTGTTGCAAGTCTGGCAAAGGTGCTTTTCAGAATCAGCGATGCTGCTGCCTGTTTCCACACTTTCTGCCCTTTGTCAGTGATGCCGTGTGCGTGTCATTCCAGTAAGGGCAGCCACTGCCACTGCTGTGTGGTCCCCGTTGGCCATTTCTTCAAGTTCGTTTTCTTGTCTTTGCTTGCGTGCAGTTGCTGTCTTTGCGGTTTCCTTATTGCCTTAGCGTGTATGTGCTCCCTGGTTACCGTCATGCTTCTGAAAAGTGGTCTGCCTGTCCTCCTGTTTAGGCATTTCCTGGCAGGGCTTCCCTAAGATTCCTGATGTCGTTGTTGGTTCCTGATTTGCTCTGTATGTTCCCATGGTGGTTTGCGACGTTGGCCTGTGGCTCTTCTGCAATCAGCCACCGATGTGCTCTTTTGCCTTGAAACTCAAAGTGTCCGCTGTGTGGTGTTTGAGGATTGTTCAGAATGTCTCGGCCCTGCTGCCCTTCCACATTTCTGAGTGCTGCTTCTGTTCCTCTGCTGCCATCTGGTGGCCGTCAGAGGGATTGCACAGTATTTCCGCTGTGGTGGGTAGCTGGTGGTGTTCCCTTGCCCTCTATTGGTGTACTGCTGTGTTGAGAACGTTTTAAAGGTGGCATATGACATGTCTGTCTTCCTTCCTTCCTTCCTTCCTTCCTTCCTTCCTTCCTTCCTTCCTTCCTTCCT